AAGTGTTTGACCCATCTTTGCTTCTAGGTATTTTATGGTTTCCGTTCTTATGTCTAGGTCTTTAATCCACTTCGAGTTGATTTTTGTGACTGGAAAATAAATCTTTTTTTAAAAAAAAGTAAATTAGTTAGAATCATCTAATAGAAACTGAAACCATATTCAGGAATTATAATTTTTGCCTTTCTTACTTTTTGAGAAAACCTCTTGGGAGACGAAGGAAAACCTCTGTTTGGAGCACTTCAAAATAGACAGGTATGTATATAACCAGATATAAAATAGGTATGTGTATAATCAGGTATATACAGCTCAAGGTATGATTCCTTTGAGGGGATCCACAGTTACTTTATCATTAAAAAAAAGCTTTATTCACACTTTTTTTTTTGAAAAATGAAATTATCAGAGAAAAAAATGGAAAGCTACTTCATTTTCATAGGAAACTGAATCACCAACATTGTGTACTTTAGAGAGTTTACTTAATCTCAGAGTGGTTAAATTCAGCTCACAGAAAGATTTCAGGTATTTGTTTACTTCACCCCTTCTGTGTGTGTATTGCTAAATCAGAAACCTGATGGCTCTTAAAATTTTCCTTATCATTAGTTTGTACCATCATGTAACATTAACTATTGATGCTAGTTTAGATAAATTACCATGCTTAATTCAAGAATAAAATTAAACTATGTTTCTTTAATGGACAAATCCTGACACTAGAAGACTGTACTCCTGCTTCATGCCTAAGCCTCATAATGTAGGTGACCCTAAAAAACAGTGCTCAGTAATCCAGTTACATTGAAGGAGCAACCAAGGATTTCCTAGACCACCCCCCTTCTCATCATTTATCTGTTTTTTTCCTGACAGCTGACTCCAGGGACTTTTAGCCCATACTGTGCAATGTGGTTTTCTGCCGTCATTTCAGAATTTCTATAAATTCATATATTTGCACAGACTTCAATAGAATAGATTAAGCCAGACATTTAAGAAATTAACTTAGAAAAATTCCTACTTAAATGAGAGTTAAAGTGATTATAGCTTCATACCTTTGTCATAGTAAACTTTAAAATTTGGTGAGGTTATAAAAGTTTTGGTATGTAATTTATTTGTAGGACTATTAGGAAAAAAATAAGTCTGCACTAAATTCTTACAGAAGAAAATGGATTTTTACAGTGAATGACTTATACCTTTCATCGTCCCTTTTTTTCCTTCCCTTTTCTTCCAATTTAGCACAATGGTCTGAAAGCATTAATACAGTTTGCAGTTGCGCAGAGGATTACCTGTCCTCAGGCCCTGATACAGAAACATCTGATCCGTCTCCTGTCAGGTAGAATTTTCTCTGAATTATCATGTTATTGTTATTTACAAGTTTTTTCGTTTGTTTTTGGCATATGTAACTTTACTTCATTAAGACACTGCATACTGCATTAATTTTGAATTCACTATAGCAGCCTTTGAAAAGAAAAAAAAATTAGAACAAAGCCATTAACTGTCCCTGTAATGCCCACAATCTTATTTTAAATACTAAAGTATTTTTAAATGTTTTCAACTTGCCTCCCTTTTACCCCAGGGACTTTATTGAAATTACATCTAGAGCCATTAATATCCTTGTATCCCAGTCTGGTTAGAAAGAGGAGCAATGGTATGGGTAGATAATTTAAAAATGTTTGATTTTGCTGCTGAGTCAAAGTGATGTAAATTTTGAAATAGAAATGCTAAGTGTAGTAATTCAGAATGCAGACCTATGTATACTCTTTTCTTTTGGAGACAGACTATAACAGCTAATTTACTCAAGTTCTGGCAAGCTAGAAATTTTCTAAGCCCATGTAGTAGTGTTTCTCTATTAATTTTAAAAGGAATTTAAGATTATATAGTGATAGAATGATTTGGCTTTCACTTTGCTTATCTGTATTTCCATTTGAACAATTGTAATCTACTACTGGACTCTTTTAAACCTGCATGGTCAGGTTTTTAATTATATTTATTCATAAGTTCAAAATGTCAATAGATAAGGAGGTTTCAGCTTGTACTTCCCATGTGTGTTTCTGCCAACTAAGAGTCAGCCACTCAGTCTTTTTTTTTAAGGTTTATTTATTTGTGTTTTTTTAAGATTCATTTTAAAAGTTTATTTATTAAAAAGTTTGGTTTATTTATTTATACATACAGAACTGGGATACAGGCCAGAGGTGCAGGGGCAGTGAGAGGATTCACCAGAGACAGAGTGGGGAGCAGAACAGGCAGATCAACGAAGTACACTGCTGAGGGGAGCAGTGGGCAAGAAAGGAGAGGTCTGCTGGCCTGTGGATCACCTCTGGGTAGGAGATCAAACTAGCAGCTGAAGCTAGCTTGCAGTGCTGCACCTTAACCCACTGCACCAGGAGGGAGGGCTTCAATCACTCTTTTTTAAGATTTAAAGCCAGACAAAATTTTCTTCTAGCTGTTCTAGCAGGCATTTCCCCCAACCCCTTCCAAAATGACCAACTTATTTACCTAGAAAGTCTGTATAGACAGGCAGCTGTCATCCTTGTTAATCCCCACCAAATAAAAGCTTCTTCTTCTTTTTTTTTTTTTAGCAGCTTTATGCTCACTCTCATGATATGGGAATTCCATACCTCCACCCAAGGCTGCTGTCCAGGTTTTAAGGAACTTTCATTATGCTTAGCTTTTATATTTTCAAATGACCTTGCAGCTATCTCTCAGATTAACTTCATATTATTGGGAACCTAATATTGATGCTGTTCTCCTAGCAAAATACTTAAATTTTCCCCTTAATACTCAATTCTATAGGCCCAGGACTTTGTGCATGTTACAAAGTGCACATGTTTTTTTCCTTACTTTAAAGTGTATCCTATTTGCATATTACTGTTTTTGGTTTTGTTTTTAATCTTTTGCTAGCTTTTTTTTTCATTTTAAATAATTCGAATGCCTTATTTTATTAGCAGTTCCCATTAATCTCCCTTCTTTTGTATACATTGCACCTTATGGGATTTGTATAATAAACACTGAATAGAAACTATGAAATCATCATCATTAGTGGTGATTAAAATAATAGTGCAAAATCTCTAATTCAGGTAACTGACAGAATTGATCAGAATTGATCTTCTTTTACTCTGTAGTATAGCTTTGTGTTTTACATGTAAAGGTTTGTCATATGAGCATAATGGGAGCAACTTTACTTCAAGATATTAGGACAGTAAATTATATAAAAAGTTATATGATAGAGCCCCTGCCATTGTGAGGCTTGTGACTCAAAGAAGCAGAAACACATATTATACAGTAGCACAGTATAGATATGTGCTTCAAGAATTGAGACACAGAAGAGATCCACATGGTAGGATGTGAATTGCACCTTCAAGGTAGAGTACATACGGGAAAGTTGAGAGGAACATCGAAACAGCATTCTAAGTACAAGGCACATTCTAAACAGAGATTGAGGAAGTAGGAAATTGTGTGCTAAGCTCAAGTGACACATTTTGTAGTAGTGGTAGCTATATATAGAGAAGTATGAAATTGTATTGATTAAAAAAAATAGGGTTTCAGTGCCAAAATTCTTTAGGAATTTCGGGGGCAATATTATTCAAAGAATAATATGATACTATGTGTTAAATTAATGTGTGGGTCAGATTGGAGGAAGGAAAAATTATACCTCTCTACTATCATCTGTATTTATGTGTGTATAGTAGTACAAATAAGTAAGGAATTGGGATGTCATTGAAAAGGGCAAGATTTTAAACTAAAAGAATAACACAATGATTGTAAGAAAGAGAGAAGTCTAAAATAGAAAGCTGTTCTGTGTGAAAGGTCAACTACATTTTAATACATTATTGTTCAGTAGCTTTAAGACATACAATGCTCACTGCTAATTATGTGTTAGGTACTATTATATAATAGTATCTTTTTATACAGTCTCATTTCTTCTACCCACCACCCTTCAAGGAAATCATCATTAGTTACATTTACAAATGAGAAGACTGAGACACAGAGAAATAATAGGATATGACCAAGTCATAAGCTAGTTAAGAGGCAGAACCGATTTTTACACCCATATGCGATCGTAAAACT